GAACCCAATAATTTTCCCTACAGGGTCTCTATTTACGAATATGGACCTTTTATTTTGGCGGGTTATTCCTAAGATGGACGATCATCATTTCGCATCGATATTGTGGTACATTTGGAGAGGGAAAAATAGCAAAACTTTGACCCTGATCCGAAAGACACACTCACTTTGGCGGAGACATAATCCACTCCATGGGAGGAGGCCCAAATAAAAGTAAATCAGAGTGAAACACAGTCAGGGGTAGTCGCGGCCATACCGACTATACCAGAACATTGGTGTTTTATTGATGGTTCATGGAAAGATAAGGATGTGTTTGATGGACATGGTTGGTATAGTACCCTCGAAGGTTTTGTGGGTTTAATGGGAGAAAGAAATGTTAGAGCCAGCCTCTCACCTCTTCATTCTGAGGTGGAAGCGCTTATCTGGGCAATGGAGAGTATGAGGAATTTGCGTCAATATTACATTATGTTTGCAATAGATTGTTCTCAGTTGGTGAAGATGGTTTCGGAACTAGACGAATGGCCAGCCTTTGCAAATTATCTTGAAGATATCAAGACGCTTAAAGGGAGTTTCCACAGCTCGGCAATCATCTATGTACCAAAGACACTGAATTCACGGGTGGACAGTCTAGCACGTAGTCCAAGAAAACAATCATCTTTTGTTGTTCACATGGATACAGAGCTACCGATTTGGTTCGCAAAGTCCATATGAGTCTGTTTGTCGATGTCAAAAAAAAAATTTGGTAGGGATGTCAAAATGAGCTATAGCTCATGAGCTGGCTCAGTTCAGTCTGTTTTTTCATGAACATGATCTCTATTTTTCAGGCTCATATAATAACTGAGTTTAATGATCGAGCTTAAATTAAATCATGAGTTATATGAACGATCTTTAATGAACATGAGCTAACTCATGAATTTGGTCGTTTTATAGTTTATATGTATATATATAAGAATGAATTCTATTTTTCTTATATAAGAAAAAATAGTTTCTATATTAATCATATTTATCTAATAAAATTAAAATGTAAAACCAAAAAGTAATAAATATATATTAAAATGTAAAAGAATATTGATATAAATCCTCATATCATATAGCTTTAGAACTAAAATATAAAACTAAATATTCCTAACACTTTCACACATAATATATATCTTTATGATTTGAATAGATAAAGTGTTTGAATATGAATCATGGCAAGACTCTTATGTAGTATATAATTTTAGAACACTAATTAAGATTTTATTTAATACATTATTAGGTCTTGTTTTTTTTGTTGTTCAAATATTTACGCTTTAGATTTTGAAATTTTAATTATTTTTATATTTTTTGATTATTTTAGATCACGAGTTAGTTCATTTAGCTCATGATCTAGATTATTTGAGTTCGAGTTTGTATATTGAAGGTCATATAATAAATGAGTTGAGCTGAGCTAGCTCATGAAAGATCTGAGCTCACCATGAGCCGAGCTGAGGGCGAGCTAGCTCATTTTGACACTCCGTCCCTCCGGACCAACAAGGGGTAGTACAGGTGTAAAAACAAATAAAGATATATTATCGAATAAAAAAAAGAAACAAACAAAAAGTTCTTATTCGAAGATTATTTTTTTCTAATTACTTTTGTTTTAATCATATTGAATATTTGACGATACATTTTGAACTGAAACATCTTAGTAGCCAGAGGAAAAGAAAGAAAAAGCGATTCCCGTAGTAGCAGCGAGCGAAATGGGAACAGCCTAAATCGTGAAAACGGGGTTGTGGGAGAGCAATAAATCAAATGATATTTTTGTTCCAATTTTTGCCTCTTCTTCTCCTTATAAATCAAAATTTTCTTTGCCATAATGCTTAAGAGGAATGTGCTAACGCCAATAAGCATATAAGAAAAGGACTAGAACTGGCTGAAAACACTTACCACTAGAAATAAATTGGCCTGACAGAAAAAGTCAAACCCCCCCTCTCCCTCTCGCAATAAATGCCCGAGTTCCCGAGGAATGCTTCTCCTTTCAGTCGAGTCATGACTTTGCCCTCAGGTGGGAGGAGAAACTATACAGGACATAGCTTTCCGTCTCTTTCTTTCACAAAAAAATGAACCACTAAAAACTGTAGATTTCTTTTTTGAAAAGTAGAATCAAGAAGAGACAGTAAGCGTCTTTATTATGGACGCTTTATTTTGTCTCCACTTATGAAAGGTCAAGCCGACACAATAGGCATTGCGATGCGAAGAGCTTTACTTGGCGAAATAGAAGGAACATGTATTACATGTGCGAAATCCATCGGAAGAATCTTTTGGGTCTTCCAATATCAATAGGTTGATTGTTTCGCTCATGTATCTTACAAAAGGAAGAAAGATCTCTGAGAGCTGTTTCCGGGTTCGAAGCCCTCTCTTTCCGTACTTTCAACTAAATAACCAATCTTACGTGATTGACCAGAACATATCAAATAAAATAGATATAAAAGCTACATTTCTTTGCTATGGAAAATGCTGGGAAGAGCAAAGAAGGATCCAAAGCTCCCTACCAATCTATGATACATGAATAGGACAAAGACTCCCCGAAAAAATCCCTTACCTTGTGCCTTTTTAGTTTTAATCAAAAAAGAGGGCAAGTTTATGAGCCTTGCGAGCTACCAAACTGCTCTACCCCACGATGAAACAAAAAGACTTGCGCAGCTGGGCCATCCTAGATTTGAACCAGCGACCTCGCCCGTGAAGTAAATCATCGCACCTATGGTCCAGCACCAACATTGGTCACTGAAGCACCTTTCGTCAATGAAGGAGCTATCCTCCCCGGAAACAGAGTAGAATAAATGCCATGAAGCTTCCCCGGTCCCTAGGAAGGGCATCACAATTGAAAACACGAATACCTTTTGAGAAATAAGTCAAGTTCTGCTTCGGTATTGCTTTTTGTTTATTTTTTATTTTTATCCTATCTTTTCTTTCATCTCGGGTGAAATACGATCGAGGAATCAAAATCGTGGCGTAACATGTATCCCCCCTCTTCCGTTCATGGAATATATGAAATAAATAAAAAATGGTTTTCAATCGCAAAAAGTTAATATAAATCAATTATCTAAAGATAATTTAGAATTGCTGGGTTATCTCTCAAGTTTGCGACTAAATCCTTTACCTCAATCTCTCCCCCGGATGAAGCCAAGAGAAACCATGAACCAGAATAGAAGAGCATACCCTGCTTTGTTTGTTTTCGCTCTGCTTGTGCGTGGCACTCCTTGCTGGCGTAGTGGCGCATAGCGAAAAAAAATAAAAAAAGAAACTCACCACCAAAAGATGCTACGGAAAGATATGTTTTTAGATCTCGCATTTGAAATCCTCCTTCTTTCTTCTTTATTGTATTACAGTGTACTCCTCCTATTCGAACCGGGGTTTGAAACCAAACTAATGCAAAAAAATGCAAGACTCTCTATCGATCTATATCTTGAGAAACGGTATTCTTTTCTTAAACTTGAAAAAATAGAGAAATCAGAACCAAGTCAAGATGATACGGATTAATCTCTTCTATCCAAAGGATGGAGGGGCGGAGGCCTTTGGTGTCCACTCCAGTCAAGAATTGGAACCTCACAATCACTAGCCAATATGCTTTTCTCGCATGCAAATAGAAACTCATGCTCAATAGAAATAGTAGATCTAATATAATCAACAAATGCTGTAGGTTCATTAACAATTCACAGATTCAAAATGGCAAAAAAGAAAGCATTCATTCCTTTTTTTTATTTTACACCTATAGTGACATTGTTGAAAAAAGATGGTTTTTTCCGGATGAAATGAAAATATGATTCATGTAATGTAACAAGAGAAAGGTTTCCCTATTATTTGGAATTCGGCTAATATTGTATCAAAATAAATGCTCAGAAGAGTTTTGGAATTTCATTAAAAAAAGATGATATATGTAAATGGTGTTGCATAATGAAGACAATATGATTGAGAATAAAACTTCCTCAAATTTTTAATCTTTGTATATCTAGTTCTAGCTTTGCATCTAACTGTATTTCTATTACTTCCTATATGTTTATAGTAATTTTACATTTTAGTTAAATAAAACTAGATTTTTGACCCGCGCTTAAATAAAACTAGATTTTTGACCCGCGCGGGTACCATTTTTGTTGTTTTATCTACAGATGGATCGATAAAGTTTTTTTGCTATGATGATATAAAATGTTCTTGTCTAATATAACTTTCTAAAGTTATTGTAGATTGTAATTTATTATTAATGTAATATATGTAATTGTGTAGTTTATTTTGGAAAAATAATATCAATTAACTACGCTTTGTGTTAGGAAGCGGGTCAAACTCGTCATGTCCGACCCGCCTAATCTGCAAAGAAAATAAGTTTTATCTATATCCGCCCCACTTAGTTTTGCGGATAATTCGCGGGACCTGTGGATAATTATTATTAATAAAAATAATTATTTTTATATTTTTCTAAAAAAAACAATTAAATAGTATATTTTTATTTAAATTTTAATTTTTTTTTTTAAAAAATAACTATTTTAACGAAATTTAGTATATTTTTGAAACATAGTTTTTTAAAAAAAATTATATTTTTGCAGATTACCGGATACTAACAATTGAATAGAACAATGCGCATCCGTTCCGCGTAAAATATATTTGACATGTACTCGCACCCACACCCGTAACTTAGTTTTTCAAATATTGATTGACTGTTTCGTGGCGGATTGAATGGGGCATGGCCAGCGGATTAATAATTAAAAGGTGAATTTGGCTCATTAATAAAATCTATTAGTATATAGTTTTTAAATTTAGAATAAAAAAGATCAAATTGCCATCAATAAAAAGTTAAATTTATTCATAACATTAAAGATATTTTTGGAAAACATAAAAATCTCATTAGAAAGAGTGATTATGTTTTAATTAATGGTATTGGTGGTTGACCAAAGAGTAACACATTTGGCCCTTATTGTTACCCATGGAAGTCAGCAAGTAGTACTGAAACGTCGGCGTTTTCCAAGTTTCCCTACCGTTGTGTGTTTATGTAATGCGTTAACCTCAAAGTTCCACAATTAACACCCTGAGAGATGGCTTCAATTCGCGTCTTCTCGCGAAAGCTCCCAACTTTCGCCTCAATTTTCTTCCAAACCCGAACGAGAAATCCTTCAATACATCGAATTTCTTTCTTAACTCCAAAACCCTATACTCTACAACACTTCATTCCGCCGAAACCCTTCCCGGTGTTCGTCGCTCATTTCCACGACGGGAGGCCAAGGGGTCCTCTCTGGAGAGGTAAGAAGTTGATCGGAAAAGAGGCCCTTTTCGTGATCCTGGGTCTCAAGAGGTTGAAGGAAGACGACGAGAAGCTGGGGAAGTTTATAAAGACTCATGTTCTTAGACTGTTGAAGCTAGACATGTTAGCTGTTATCGGCGAGCTTGAACGACAAGAAGAGACTGCGTTAGCTATCAAGGTGATTCCTTCACGTTCTTCGCGTCTCAGCCTTTATCTTTACTTCTTTAGTTCCGCCGCTTTTAGTTTGGTTTCATGTGCGTGTTTGTTCGGGTTGTTTCTTGAGCTTTGTATACCACTAAATTCGTGTATCCGTTCGTGTACATCCTCATCGTCTGCTGCTCCAGTTAATTTTGCTTAGATGTACAGTTTTATGGAAGTGCGCATGAACTGTTCGACGAAATGCCTTAGCAGAGCTGATAAAGTTTTAGAGTTTCCTTGATGTGTGTTTATACGCATATCCTTGTAGATTGTCTCTTTTTCCTATTATGTTGTTGATGATTGGCTTCTTGAACATACAGATGTTCGAGGTGATCCAGAAGCAGGAATGGTACCAACCGGATGTGTTTATGTACAAGGACCTTATAGTATCCTTAGCGAAGAGTAAAAGAATGGATGAAGCTATGGGTTTGTGGGAGAAAATGAAGAAAGAGAATCTCTTTCCGGATTCTCAGACTTACACTGAGGTGATCAGAGGATTTCTGAGAGATGGATGTCCTGCTGATGCCATGAATGTGTATGAAGACATGTTGAAGTCTCCTGATCCGCCGGAAGAGTTGCCGTTTAGGGTTCTGTTGAAGGGGCTTTTGCCGCATCCTCTTTTGAGAAACAAAGTGAAGAAAGATTTCGAGGAGTTGTTCCCTGAGAAACATGCTTATGATCCCCCTGAAGAGATATTTGGTAGATGTTGAGGTGTGTGTGTATTCACAAAACTTTTTTTATCTCTTTTCCATCTTAGTTTTTTTCCCATAATTTGTCTTCTTTCCGCTTATGAAGTTTTCAATCTTTTGGCACTTTAAAGTAGCTAAATCATATCTTATTGTAGATCAGTTCGAGTCCTGTAATTCACAATGAAACATGGGAAAGGTTTGCGACTGTTTTGAGTCCCTGACTTGTGTGCATTGTGCAGACTCTGAACAGTTGTAACAGGGGAAATATGTCTTGATCAAGATCCAAACTCTATTGAAGAATAATCACGAGATTTGACCAAATGGAGTAATAGAATCAATCTGTAACTGAACTGTTACATCTCAAGAAAAATACTTTAGTTAGAGAAAGGACCCATATGCTTGTTCTGATGCTTAGTCAAAGACCAAACTTTTGTAAAGCGATCATCTTTTCTGGGATAGATTCTAAGTTGACAAGGTCTCCACATTTCTCTTACGGCCTATCAGGTTGTGGAAGGGTCCTCTTTTAAAAAAACAATATGGCAAGGATAAGAAGAATAAAAAACAATATGGCAAGGATAAGAAGGGTCCGGCTAATCTCTTGGGAGCTGGACAAACTGTTATTTTACATAGGAGTTAGATACCCATGCCGCCTGTTCACACAGTAAATCTAGGTGGTAAATTTCGAACTTAGGACACTTATACTTTTCAGAGCTTATCACCCGACCACACCTGCCTGCCTGGTTAAATCATTACGAGTATCTCGAATACTGTGTGATATTATTCTTCTTATCCTTGCCATATCGTTGAAAGAGCAAGAAATATAAGTAAACATTATGGCATCTACTTGACGAGACAAGGAGAACATGTTTAGCATTGGATCAAAGCCATTTGACCATTCTTTATAAACACTATGACATTACTGGTGAGAGATCCTCCGAAAACGACGTTAAAATCTTCCCGACATTTGAAAATAATGTTACGACATCAGTGGGATGAAAGCAGGTCAGGTACAATTATATGTTTGGCTATTTGTGATCAAGAAAGGTTAGAAACATGTAGAAGTCGTAGATATTCTTTCCCTTGACATCTTTTAGTAGATATGTCAACAAGATTTGTCAAATTCCAAGAATAATTTGACTAGAAAAAAACACCACTAAACTGTATCTAACTTGGTAAGTCCAAACAAAAAAAAAGCAAACCGAATTAACTAAATCTAAAAGCGGGTAAAGATTAGTTTCTCTTTGACTTGTCATGTGATTATAGTAGCAACTAGCAAGCATTGTCACTGTCTATATAGATCCACTGATCTTGCTGTGGCTACACACCTCATCAAACTATCTTCTTCTTGGTTCTTCATCATCTTCTCTACACATTTCTAATCTTCAAAATCTTATTAGTCTTGACTCTTAAGAAACAGAAAGTAGAAATGGAAGGTAAAGGGAAAGTGGGATCATCATCGTCTTCTTCTTCCTTCACTACTCAGCTCTTTGGCCCCAAGGAACCTTCTTCCTCCTCCAACTTCAGTTCCATTTTCCCTCCTTCCTCCAAGGTTCTATTACTGTCCCATCTTTTTTATAGTTCTTTCTGTTACCTTTTCTAATTGGTTCTTGATGTTTATTTTTTGAGTTTTCAGGGAACAACAGGAAACATGATCTTAAGCTCCAAACATGAGTCCCTAGGTCAGTGGGAGACCCTTTCACCAACTGTTATTGTTTTTGGAACTGTATATACTTAAACCTCGGAAAACTTGTCTCCCTTCTTGAATCAATATGGTTCCTTTTGTTTTCCATAAAGCCAAGTTCTGTCGAACATTCTAATTCATCTCTAAACATGTCATTCTTGATTCAAAAATGGCTAAAGTTGCTTTATATGGCTTGTAATTAAGTAAAAAAAGAACATGAAAATCTCAACCTAGAATAATCCAAATTGCTTGCTGGAAACCAAGCAAAAACCATACCGTTCTTACCATTTATATCAGAATAAGTTCAAATTTTTCTCTGTTTTTTTCTATTCATCATAAACAAGCTTCAATACATAGCGATATAATGTCAAGAACGGATCAAAGATTCTTCAGTTTTTTGTTTGAGACTCGCAGTTCTTTAGTCAAAAATAATAATAATCTGAAACCAGTTGGTCTAACCGATACATTATCTCCTCGGGTTTGGTGGTTTCTTCCCAGGCCAACGCAAAGACTCTGCAACCTGTAATCTGAGTTCATCTCTTTACTACGGTGGTCAAGACGTTTACTCTGGATCCACAAGCAATCATACTTACCCCAACGTGAGTCCTAAATCCTAATCATATATCTGTAGTGCATATAGTTCACATCGATCACTTTAATCTTTGATTATTTCAAGGTAAAGACAAATACTTGACTTTGAAGAATGCTTAATCAATCAGGTTAACAAGTCTCAGTACAGAGGAGACAATGTGGCTAGTGGAAACAACTCAATGGACGCATCCAGAGGAAACTGGTGGCAAGGCATATTCTCTAACTTTTTTGATCATTTATGTTACAATCAATCCCATCTCTTTCTTTTCTTGCCTTCTAACATTCCCCGTGTCTCGCCAATTTTGCAGGTTCACTTTACTATTAGCATCTTTCTTTACAAATCATCAAGAACATCAACTGGAAACATAATGGTTTCAGGTTTCTCTCGTATTTTACCTTATTTAACTTGTTGGAAAGAAACTGTATCATTGATGTTTGTTAGTCTATCTGTCTATTAATGTTAAATCCAAGATTAAATTTCTGTACTTGAAGACGCGCAAATTATCGTGAAGTGGCAGTTAAATTTGTAAAAAACTGAAGGAAAAACAGAGAGGTGAGATTATTTAAAGACAAGAAATATTGTAGAGATTCAAATAGGATTAATAAATAAAGCTTAGCGAACAAACAACGGAACAAGGAAAACATAAACAACAACAAACAAGTGTAGCCTTTCGACATTAACCATCAATATCAAAAATATGAGAAACAAATTAATAAGAATATGAAAGAATAAATTTTCTCTCACTAAGATCATTTAAGATTATTCCTCCTTATACTCTCTCTATTTCTCAAAAATTATCATTTTAAACTAGGTGATATTCTGCGCCATACGCGGAGTGAATGAATTAAAAAAGAATTACTTTTAATCTATAGATATAATGAAAGATGTAAAAAAATTACACATGTTTATATAAGATAAAATTCAATTTTAAAAAATTTGTTTTATTGGTTAGATTTACTGAAGTATAATTTATAGAAGTAAACCTATACGCGTAAGCAAAAAATTTATGTAAATTAGTTATAATTTAAGAAAGAATGAAATATAGGCAATAATTTTTTTGATTCTTAATAGAAATTATGAATATAAGATAAAACAAAACATGTGTAATAAAATAATAAAAGATGAAGGAACAAATTATAAAGAAACAAATAAAAAAGTTGAAAAAACTATTTCGATGGTCTCCTCTTCAAGAGTAACCAAGTACCACTTCCAAAATATTATAACTTCTATCCTAACCTTCCACATAGGCTTCTTTGTCTTTAAGTCAGAAATGAAATTCATGAAACTCATTTTCTTTTCTAGTTCGAAATTTTTAAATTGTGTTACTTTATATTAAAGTTTAGTACTCCATCCGTTTCAATTTTGATGTCATTATAGAATAAAATTTTATTTTAAAATAAGTGTTGTTTTATAATTTTAATGAAAAATTTAGATATTCATCTGTTTTATTGGTTGAAAAGTGGTTAGTTGTATAGGTAATTGTGTTTTTATCTTGGATATATATATATAATTAAATGTTTTCTTAATCTGTGTGCAAAAACCTAAAATAACAACTAAAGTGAACTTTGACCAAAAAAAAAAAAAAAAAAAACAACTAAAGTGAAATGGTTGGAGTATGATATATATAGCCATAACTAACAGGGTTTTGTTACAAAAAAAAAAGCTGATAGGGTTTAGGCCACAAGAATTAAGTCAATTAAATATTCCATCGTGAAATTAATGGCAAAATTTCGTGTATAATTTTTTATTGATCGAGAAAATTGTGTATAAATTAATAGTAACTTTTCTATATTAACAAAAAACGGATTGCATTGTGTCGCTTGCATATATTAGTTTCCTATAATTTATTTTATTGCATAAATTATGGTTAGATATAAAATTATAAAAAGGAATCAAATTAATATAGGAAATTGATATATTATTATCTGAAAATATTCAAAAACAACATCAATTCCCCCCCCCCCATTTACTTAAATTTTAGGGTCGATCCCTATTTATTTATTTTCATCATATAATGGTTGAGGTTGGAAACCAAATTAAATTTAGAGAGAGTTCGTATTGATTCCGTTTGCATTATATAACAGTTGAGCTTCTCAAACTAAGTTTTGTCATAGTTAATTTAATTAATATATTGATGGCAGTTATATTTACATATTCTCTTAACATGTGGTTGATCCAATAATAAGTTTATATTAGTGAAGTTTTGATGTGTATTTTCATTTGAGTTAACATAGATTTTTTTGATATGATTTCGAAGTTAACTAATATTTCCAAGATCAATTTAGATTGATTCTTGCGTAAGAGATGCTATATTCATTCTCTAAATTTTATCTTATAATTAAGACTATATTTATGGGATCAACAATATATGTTACAAATCCGTACTATAAAATATTAAAATTTTATAGTTATAACATCTATCATTATGATATTTTCAAAATCCATATATGACTATAATCCATAGGTGAATAGTGATATTATATTTTTTATATTCACCGAATTTTTGAATAGATAACATATGTTTACACCAGATTATATTATATTATAATATAAATGTTAGTAAATATAATGCATTTTAGGAGAGCTCATCCAAATATATATATATATACACATATTATTTTAAAATAAACAAAATGTTAGTAAAAATGAGCTGTTTGAATGAAAAATTAGTCAAAATATGGTTGAAACATAGCTATATATATCTATATATAATTATATATATGTTACAGAAAATTACAAAACTTAGCTATATATATTATAATATTATAAATTATCGTACATTTCATGAATCAGTAAACTTAGGTATTTCAACATTTAAATGAAAATTTAAAGGTTCATTTATAAATGGGTTATTGCTAATATGATGTAACATTATATCATAAGAAAATATATGTTTAATGACATTGAATTGTAAATACTCTAATATATCATGTCTATTTTAACAAATGAACTGAAAATGATTGTGAGGTTGTCACCTAAGTAATGACAATTTTGTTAATCACACATGAATGTAAGGTTATTCGTTAAAAATGTTCCCCTTTTAAAATATAAGAGATTTTTTTTTTTGTTTTAATATGCAATTTTCTATATTAAATTTAATTTTTAGATAAACAGTAGATTTTTATTTAATTATTTTATATTAAGTAAAGATATATTAGTAGATTTTATAATATCGTAATATGTGTTAAATTGACACCTTTTAAATAACAAAGAACTGAAGAAGTATCTATTTAGGGATTATCTAATTATAACTCTTAACTATTGTTGTACTACACAAATTTTAGACAAGTCAAAATATGCTGTACTTGTACTACAGTACAACTGCAAACACGTTTAACAAATCACGAGAACACAATAAAATCACAATAAATACGAAGCGATTCTGTCTTAATTTGTTTTCTCTCAAACAAAAACTCTCAGAATTCTACCATTATCACGCCATGGATCATGATAACATGCATAACATGCCATCACCATCATCATCAATGACGAATCATACGAAACCCCACATGATGATGATGCACATGACCTTCTTCTGGGGCAAGAACACAGAGGTTCTCTTCTCCGGATGGCCCGGGACAAGCTCCGGTATGTACGCTCTTTGTCTCATCGTCGTTTTCCTCCTCGCCGTAATCGCCGAGTGGCTCGCTCATTCTCGGATCCTCCATGGTGGTGACGCCACCAGCCGCGCGGCTGGTATTGCTCAGACCGCCGTGTACACTCTAAAGACTGGCCTATCCTATCTCGTGATGCTCGCTGTGATGTCGTTTAACGGCGGCGTTTTTATCGTTGCGATCGCCGGGTATGCGGTGGGTTTCTTGCTCTTTGGAAGCACTGCTTTCAAGAAACCCTCCGATGACAAGAAAACCAATGGACTTCTCCCGCCGTCGTCCGGCTGCGTTTGCTGAACATAGCCTTCTTCTATATTTCCTTATAAAGAACTTTACGTTTGTGTATGGCTTGCTTTGTTTTGAGTTTTAATATTTCGTTTTGGTTAATTAAGTTGATTAATAGTGGACGTTAATACAATTTCCATTGATTTTCTTTGCTAGTTCTACGAATAATTTCACCAAATTGATCCCAAAAGTTCATTAAAATTTGGTGACTATAGGTTTTGTAATTTACAATCCCATTCCGATTTTGAAGAATTTGAATCTTTAATTTGTTCTTTTTAAATAAATGTAGTTATTCACCATTTTGTATGATATTCTCCAGTTTGCTGTTCATAATACAAAAAAAATGAATCAGGTAAAAGATTAATGATAATAATTATCATAAGAAAATTTACTTGCATATAAAAATATCAAAACAGAAGACTGCTGGAGATTGGACTGTAGATTTAAAAGGAACATCATACAAAATACAAGACAACAGTTTATTAACAAAACGAAAAGAAATAATAATAGAACTAGGTGTTTTGCCCGCACTTGCGGGCTTAATAATTTTACTAATATCTATAAATAAATATATAATCAATTTATGTAAATTATAATAAAGTATAGTTCATAGACTCAAAATATTTAATAATAAACTAAACAAATTCTTTCTATATATAAAATTTTTCATCATCATATAAATAATTTTCATTACACAACCTATATTTGAAAATACTCATGAACTTAAAACATTTAGTAATAAATTAATATCATTTTTAGACATAACAAAAAGGGGGTTTTGCAAAACCAACCTAAAATTTCAAGTCAAACACAAAACCAACCTCTTTTTTTTTGTCCATTACTATTCACTCTTAAAAAACCTAAACTCTCCTCATGTTTCCACTTATTTACCAAATTGCCATTATTTTTAAATCAGATTTTATTTTCGAAAATTATTAAAAACCTATTACACCCTAAACATTTCTCC